ATCGACGTATAATTTAGTCTATTGTACTTTTTAACGTTTCTGTTGCATTGTTAATATTCGTCTTATAAAATATAAATATTATGAATGATATTTAAAAGTTTCTTTCTTTCTTTTATTTTGTAAATTTCAATTCGCCTTTGGTTAATAAAGCAAGAGAACACCCAGCAGGCACTCGACGTTGTTTCAACGTTGAAACAACGTTGAAATATGGTCGTGACGTTGTTCAACCAATATTCAACTATGGACGACCATACGGATATATTGCCAATGTATATACAACGTTGATTCAACGTTGTTTATGGTCGAAGTTTTACATTTAGTTTAATCATTATAAAAACTTTTATACCACTAATTTCGTGTTATTATTCCTTTATTGAATTAGTCTGTAAGTGATTTTTGTCAGGCAAATTTGCGTAACAATCTTTTTCCGTATATTCAAAAGTAGCGCTTAAACAAATAAAGTTGGAAATAATTTTTCACTTTCTATTAACGCTTTAAATATTAGTTAATATGTTTGTTGTTTGTTGTTTTATTTTTTTAGTTCTTTATGAATAATATTAATTAATAAATTGATATTGGTCAAACCCCCGTTTATAAAAATAACGCTGGTCAGGGGAAGTAATTGTTGAATGTCTATGATTATCGTTCGTGCAAATGGTGGGCGCTGTTTGGAAAATTTGAAAACAACACGATTGGCAATTATTTGGATTTCGAAGGTATTACCGTAATGTTTTACTTTAGTTTACTAATTATTTTATAAAATATTATTATTTATTCTTAAAATTCTACTTTAATTTACTTTATGAAATAAATGAGAGATGAAAACACATGATTGAGTTGATTTGGACACGTTTTCGCGACCTAATTGAATGATTTGGGTTCGGTAGGCCTTCTAAGCATGAAGTTATTGATGTCCTTGGCAATTTATGATTTTACAAATCTTGTCTTTCTTTAATTTATTGTTCATATTATTAAACATTTGTCTGTACTATATCCTAATTAGAATTTAATCAATTATAAAATTGAAACCTATAAAGTAGTTCAGCCCACTTTATTTACGTCCCAAGACGATTCGTCAATATATATAAATATATATGTTTATATTTTAGTGATAGTATAATACAGTGTTAATTAGTTTGGAAAAAAACATTATTATTAAGTTAAATAACAAATTTGAGTGTTAAACTTTAAAGTTCAATAGTCCTAAATTTATGGGGAATAATAAATCTATTTCTATTTTATTATATATTATTTTATATTCTAGATCCTGGTCCTGACTGAAATTTAGAGTATTGCAGCTGTAGCCTGTATACCATACATTCAACATGAAAAGGACTGACAAGGTTTGTTTAAATTGAAATTTATTCTTATTAATTTATATATTTGAATTTCTTTACAATACAAAGTATAAATTTTTCAAATACTGGATATTTATCTTGTCTTAAAATATATTATTTTCGGAATATTCCTGTAACATTATTAATATAAAATTTACATGTTTGTTGATTTCAGGATGCTGCATAAAATGGTCTTACCTAGAGCCTAGAATGTTAATTTCTTGGGAATATGCTGCAAGCAACTGACGGGGAGCAGTTTTTCTTTACCAATCATAGGTGGGACTTTTAAATAGCTTCTTTTTAAAAAGATTGTGTTGTCTTATATACAGTAGTTTTGCTTCAATATGAAACTTAGCTATGTTTCAATTTCTATGCTGTTTTATGATGTAAATCTTAGAGAAAAGCATTTTAAGATAAAAACAAATCACTAAGTTGAGTAATTATATGTATAATTTGAGATTGACCAAGTCACTTTTAACTACAAACTTCTTATTTTTATTTGCAGAAGCAGTAAGAGACAGCCAAAGAAGTACTCAAACACTTGACATACCCAGAAAGATCTAAAAGAAAAAATTGGAACAGATTGTAGACTATAAAAGTGAATTTAAACTGCACTTGAACTGTATTTTTGGAATAAAATATTTGAAGTATTTAATATTGTCTTGATATTTTGTTAAACTTGGTTACTTTGCTTTATATCCAAAAGTTAAAGTATGGTGGGTTTTCAACGTTGAAATGACATTGAAACTTCAACGTTGTGCCTACGTTGAAGCTGCAACGTTGTATCAACGTTGAAATTTCAACGTTGTTTCAACTTTCAAATCCGAATATAAATCCAACCTTATTTCAACGTTGAAATCTGACCATAATTCAACGTTGAAACAACGTTGATGTGCCTGCTGGGCAAAGATCGGCGAGTTACATATACTGTCATACTGCCGAAATAGGCGAATGATTACCGGAATCGGCCTGTATGGACATTGCAAGAAAAAAAGCAAACAATATAATAGATATCTAAAAAGATTTCTGAAAATGAAGAATCCTTATTAAATAATAAACTAGAGATCTAAGGTCGGCGAATTACTGCCATATCGCATATATGCAGTGCCAGGGCTATCGGACAATTACCGGAATCGGTCTGTTTTTCCCCACCAATGTTTCAACGTTTAAAAATACCTTGAATTATCTTCTTAAATATAAACAATTTAAACGATTTTTATAATGTTTATTGAAATCTGTATTAAATAAGAAGCAAAAGATTTATGAAAAATCGCTGTTATAAATAATAAAAAGATTAATATTGAAGATCGGCAAAAACGGGAAAACTGTCCGAATAGGCGATGGATTACCGGAATCGACCTGTAATTTGGTTATTTGTGAACTTTTAAAATATTTCTTTTGCATGTTTTTATAAGATATAAACATTTTCAACGATATTCATTTTTATAAATAAATTCGCTTTTGATTAATAAAACAAGAGACCTAAGATCGGCGAATTACTGTCATACTGCCGATGTAGGAGAAGGATGGGCGGGATCAGCCTGTAATATAATTATTTTTATGTTATTTTATTGAATGCAAATAATATCATTGATATACAAAGATTTTTTTGAGAAATAAAGATCACTTTTTTACTATAAACTAGATATCTAAGATAGGCTAATTACTATCACAGTGCCTGAATTAACAGGGAAATACAGGAATTAGTCTGTTATTTTGTTATATTTCAGCGTTTTAAAAATATCTTGCCATATGTTATTAAATACAAACAATTGAAATGATATTTAATAATATTTATTGTAATCGTTATTACATAATAAACAAGGTGATCTATGATTTCTTCCATACTACCGAATCGACGAGCGATTACCGGAATCGGCTTCACTTCGTCTAGGATTACTGGAATCGGTTCTAATTTTGTTATGAATGTGAACTTAATATTATTATTATCATTTATTTTTGCATGTATTTACAAACATAATCATTGATCTTTTATGGAATAATGCAATATCGTCTTTACATTATATTTTTCAGGACATTGCTAACAGAGGATTGTTTGAAATGACGGATAACAATAGGTCAGTTTAGTCTTTCTTTATGTTTGCATAACTCAATTCTTTATTTCATAAAGTAGTCGATTTATGATTACATACAATAATTTTTATTTGATTCTTTATTTAAACAATACAAACCTCATAAAATATTCAAATGAAATCAATGTTTTACTAGGCAGTTAAATCGTACTTACTTGACAGTTCATGGTCATTCTGGAGTATCAAATCAATTGTCGTCATTTGCGTTATTGGTGCACCATAAAAATATTACAAAAATTGCGAATTAGTCAATCGTTGAAACATAGATTCTTTAGTCTTAAATAGTAAACAATTAAATCATCTATACCCGTAACGTATAAAACAGTGAGATATGGATGTTAACTATATACGCACAGATGTTACTGTCACTTTATTGGAAGTTAACGAGCTGTATATTGGGAGCTGTGTATTGGGAAGTGTGATATACTACGAAACAGTGGGGTGCCAATATACGGTATGCTGATATATTTCATAGTGGGAGGGACTATCTGCACTTTGTTTCCAGATTGTTATACTTCACAACAGCAGGTGTCAAGTGCTGTGTGGCAGCTGTAAAGAGTTCCCCCGTACTTCACGTCAGTGTTGTTATATTTTTCTGGTCCTTCGGGATCATTGATGCCAGCACTATTAATTAAGGAGAACGCCGAATTTAGGTCACGGTAGGATAAGTGTTGAGAATTGAGTACCGCTCAAGCCGGTGCTAGGGGGCGTGAGGGATGATGCACTTCTTCAGTATCCCTCATGTACAGACTGAATCAAACCGTGTCTGCAATTCTTATATTTTGTTGTGATTCATGCTTCCGCCACATTTCTATTGTTTATTTTTATTTATTGGTATCCGTTTCAGATAATCACAATGTGAAAGGATGCGGGAACCAAATATCAAGGGAAACTACTATTGTGAGCATCCACAAAGACCAATCAAAGCGGTACGTTACGATTACCGAAATCAACTTGATTTCGGTAAAGTTACCGAAATCAATTTTTCATTACCGAAATCAACTTATAGAATTAAGCGTTTTATTAAATTGTTTTCATTGTAATATATTACAATAGGTTAAGTTTGACTTACATGCAAAAAATCAGTTTAAAATAATTGATAATTATGAAATTAGAATCAAATAACTAAATATCAAGATTATTCCCTGATTTGTCACGAACCGAAATATATGTTACAATACCGAAATCGACTTGTAAAATCACAATTAAGCCCAGCAAACACAAGTCGTCATACTGACGTCAGATTTAAGTCAGGTTCTGACGTCGGATGACGGTCGGGAAAACGGTTGGATTTGAAAGTTTTTTTGACGTAATAATCTGACGTCAGGTAAACGTCAGAATCTAACCATTATTTAACCTTTTTCTGACCAAAATCTGACCATTATCTAACCATTTTCCGACCTCAATCTGACCATTTTCCGACCTCAATCTGACCATTTTCCGACCTAAATCTAACCAGTTTTTAACCATTTTCCGACCTCAATCTGACCATTTTCCGACCTAAATATTAACCCTTTTCTGCCCTAAATCTGATCATTTTCTGGCCTGCATCTTATCATTCCCCTAATCCTTTTTGTTTCACCACGTCATAAATATTTTCTGGCTAATCCTGATTTGATCTAATTTAATGTAACTCATTCTATTAAGAAACTTTCCCTCAAATGAAATGTATAACAGAAAACTAAAAGCAAAAATATGTTTCGTGCTTTTTTAATTTAAGATAAAAGTTGCAATTTTAAGCTGTTACATACAATTTTAGTAAATTCTGCAAGGTTAAATAATTTTCATAAATTAAACAAAATAAAACATAAAAAAAGTTAATTACAAAACAAAAAGTATTACAAAAACAATGACATAAATGAAACTAAGAAAACATGTACAAATATTAAAGAACAAAACAATGTATGCACATTTCTATCAAAGTTTGCCTTATCAAATAAAACAATGAAAATATTATAATTTTAATTAAAGTTAAAAGATTCTGATAATAATGTTTCAAGCAATTAATGACAGATTTTCAGTACTTTAACTATATTTCTACAGCATTTCTAAAACATTTAGTGCCATTTTGCATATTTTGACCTCCTTTGATAATTGTCAGTAATGTATAAATTGCTGCCTTTTAGTTACTTCACAAAGTTATACTTTTAGATATCCATGAGAATTAGCACGAATTTTGAGGTGTGATGCTTTAAGATATGACCTTCTTTCAGCACCCCTCGTCTGTCCGGAGGATATGTAGCGTTTGTAGCGCCCAATAGCGTGTGTGACATCATTTTCACTGAAAAAAAAAAGAAATTTATGAAACATGTAAAAATAACAAGCAAAAATGTTTTCATGGTTATCTTAACTTAATGAACAATTTTGCCAACTTTTTATAAGAGAGCTTTAACAAAAATTAAAAGTAAACATAAATACTGAACATTTAAAAAGCCGCTTTTAAACTCCAGTTTAGTATGGATTAAAGTATGTAATAGAATTTACAAAAATCTTACTTTCATATGTTTCTTTTTACATATTCACGTGTTTCCGTCCCTCCGACCTTTGAGAGCATGTCCAACACTTTAACTACCTGAAAAGAAAATTATATTCTAACTTATGTATATATTCTACGTTTGAAATAGAACAGTTACGCAAGTCTAAAATATTTCATAGTTTTAAATTAAAGATTTAATGCCGAAATGTCTGGAACCAAAACGTCTTGCGTTATTTGGGACCGGAACGTTTTGGGTTATTTGGGACCGAAACGTCTTGGTCCGAAATGCTCGAAATCGTACAAATTCATTCTCAATTCTCAGATTTTAACTGACAAAAACATCACAGTTTAAGAAAAATATGAAAACTAAGCATTCTCTTTGGTAGTACTGAAAGGCATATTATAAACTCTTCACAAGCAGAGTTAAAACATGTCAATTTTAAAAAGATTTATTATTAGACATTATCGCGAATTTGTGTGACATTTTACTTCAGCTGTTCAAATAATGATAATTAAATTTAAGAGTGCTTGCAATCATGCAATTATTTATCGAATACAAAGTAGAAATCAATCTAAATAAATTGAACTGACCTTTTTGTTCAAGAAAACCTATAATATTCACTTATCAATGCATCCCGATTCCTGACCGACAGCCAAAACGTAACGCCTACGAATTTGAATTTCCATCCACGTGACTTTAGATTCGAATTAAAGGTTAATTATGTTTTCTTTCCCTTTTCTGTCACTATGATTAAATGTTAAAGCACTATTAAAAACTCGTCATTTTGATACACATAATATACCACAAATGATAATATTACAACGTTAAATGATTGGAACTTGTAAACAGATCTGTAGCTATAAATAGATTTTATAACAATAACACATGTAACTTGCGTATATACAGCGCCATCTTTATGTTTTATTAGGTTGCAGCGCCGCGATCTTGGTCTGTATTCATATAAGAACACTTCATTTGTAATCCAAATAACATTTGAAAAAAAGTTTAAATGATTACAACAGCGAATAAGGATTATTTTTTGTTATTTTTTTACCTACCGTCAGGACACCGACCATAACCTGACGTTAGTACGACGTCAAAAAGAAACGTCTATTAGACATCGGTATTTTAACGTCAGATTTACGTCGTATTTTGGTCGCCGACGTCGTGACCAAAATCTAACATTAATCCGACGTTATTTTAACGTCATGTGTTTGCTGGGAAGCGTTGTTTTGTTATATTTTTTTCATTATAATCTATTACAATAGGTTTGGTTTGACTTTCATGCAAAAAATCAGTTCGAACTAATTAATAATTATGAAATTAGAAACAAATATATGAATATCAAGATTACTTCCCTGATTGTCACAAACCGAAATATATGTTACCATACCGAAATCAGCTTGTAAAAGTTAAAATAAACATTTTCATAGATCTTGTTTAATTAATTATTATAAAATCATTCAAACTGAACCATAAAAAAGTAAAATAATATTTAATTATAAAAAATGATGATGTTATAGACGGATATTTATACATTTTATATCATGATTACTTCCCTTGTTATTAATGTGTTGCATTACCGAAATCAAATCAGATTTCATTTCAAAGATGAGAATAACCCCTAAATAATTTGCATGAATTTCAGAAGTCTATGAAAAACGTTAGTTGAGTGAGTTTTAAACTTTGAATTCATATCGCTTATTTTCAATGTTTAAATTTTTCCTTTAGTCAGATAACATAGCAGCGTATCATCTCTTTGATGTTTCTTAATGATTTCGAAATACAAGATTTACAAAACTGTGTTTTAAGTTATCCGCCTAATTTAACTCACTATTAAAATAGTTGATTGGAAAATTATCACAGTATTTAATTTAAATCCAATGATTATGATTTGATAAAAATATAAAGACGTAGAGGTAGCGGTTGCCATTAATCATGTAATCATAACACCTTTACTATAAAGTAAAATGAAAAATTTACGATCATCGTGTAAAACTATTCAACAACAATCAGCCGAGTTCCTCGCGCAAAAAAGTGGACTTGAGGAACAAATTACGAACCTCGAAATACAGTCTCTTCAAAACAACCTCCTGTTCTACAGTTTCCCAGAAAATGAGCATGAAAACTGTGAAACCCTAATTAAGGAATTTTGTGCTGAAACGTTAAAAATCGAAGACACTCATGAATTTATATTTCAAAAGGTTCAGCGGCTTGGCAAAGCCAGTGCAAAAAAATCTCGTCCAATCCTAGTTTCATTTCATTATCGCCATCAGCGTGAAAGAGTGAGAGCAGCTTCGTTCGATCATGCCGACGATTTGAAGGAAGCCGGACGCGGGATAGGGGCCCAACTCCCTAAATCCGTTCGTGACGCCAGAGTTCCATTGTATCCCATAATGAATCAAGCAAAAAAGGACGGCAAACATGTCAAATTTGTGGGCAAAACATTATTCGTTGACAATATTGAAGTTAAACCGGATTCGTATTAGCGGGGTCATGAGGGGTCAATCAAGATACTATCATGGAACGTTCACGGATTAAAAAGAAATTTATGTGACAATGACTTTTTACAACTTATAAATAAATATGATCTTGTTTTACTAAATGAGACGTGGTTGTCAAAACTTGACACAATTAATTATGATATTCATGGCTTTCATAGTGTACATATACTCGGAAATAAATCTTTAAATACAACAAGAGGTAGAACGAGTAGTGGCATATCTCTTTATTATACAGATAAGATAAGTAAGTACGTGTCTATTGTTGATAAAAATCAGTTTGGCTACATTTGGGTCAAATTAGATCGTTGTTTATTTGACTTTAACGATGATGTGTTTATTTGCCATACATATATCACTCCTTCTACCTCGAAAGTTATAAATAGAGATCAATTTGACTTTTTTTGAAAATATTGAGATTAATGTTTTAAAATATAAGGAACTCGGCAAAGTATATGTTACTGGAGACTTTAACAGTCGAACCTCAAATGAACCAGATTTTTTCATGCATGATAAATATATTGACCATAATATGCCATATATAAACAGAAATGATATTCCTCCCAGGTTTAACCGAGATAACGTGATTGATTCTCAAGGTAAACGTTTAATTGACCTGTGTATATCCACAGGCTTCATAATAGCAAACGGTCGTCTGCTCTCGGATAAAAATATTGGGTCTTTCACTTACTGCTCTAGTCAAGGGGAAAGCACTGTGGATTATTTGCTGATATGTCTTGAGGATTTATCTACCTTGATCGACTTGCCCTTGTTCTTCGAACTTAAATGTAAGAAAAACAATGAGACCACTTTTAATTATTCATTTTCTGGTAACAAACAAACAAAAATTTTATGGGATAATGCAAAAAATTATGCATATGTAAAAGAATTAGAAAATTGCAGAAGCGAATTTATTGATTTAACCAATGCTCTTGAATCAAACCCAATAGACGCTGTAATTAATTCATTTTCATCTATTTTAGTTAAAAAAAGGTCAAGACTTATTTGCGAAGAGTATACCAAATAAGCTAAATGAATACAATCACATGCGTAAATGTAAATGGTTTGATAAAAACTGCGTAAACGAGAAAATTACCTTCAATAAAGCACGAAATAAATTTATTAGGGACAGAAATGACATAAATAAAAATAACTTCATACGTTCGAGAACAAAATATAATAAAGTTAAGAAGAGTGCTCAAAATAGGTTTAAAATAAATGAAGGAAAAAGACTACAGAATCTAGTTAAGAATAATCCTAAATCATTCTGGCAAACCTTGAATAATACATGTAAAAGTAAATCATCACAATCACAGACACTAACAGTGAATGATTTATATGACCATTTTAAGACTCTTTTTGGTGATACATCGCAATCTATAAATGAAGAAAATTATGAGAACCACACAGACGAAAAATTAGATAAAAACTTTAGTGAAACTGAAATTAGAACCGCTGTATTTTCACAAAAAAATAACAAATCTCCAGGGACAGACAATATTATCAGCGAAATGCTTAAGTCAGCATATGATATTATATCACCATTTTTGTGCAAGTTATATAATAAAATTTTTAATTCAAATGAATATCCTATCTCATGGGGAGAAGGAATAATTGCACCAATATTTAAAAAGGGTGACATTAACGAATCTAAAAATTATAGAGGTATCACATTAATAAATATTTTGGCTAAAATTTATTCACAACTTTTACTCAATAGGTTAACCATATGGGCAAATGAACATGACAAAATTTCAAAAAATCAATTTGGTTTTCAGAAAGGGAAGTCAATTATTGATTGCATATTTATTTTACATTCTATAATTGCTAAAGTCATTAATTCGGGGAAGAAATTATACTGCATCTTTATTGATTACCAACAGTGTTTTGATAAGATTGAAAGATCATTTCTATGGCAAAAACTCATTTCAGAAAAAGTAAGTCTCAAATTAGTGAACGCTATAAAATCTATGTACAAGACTGTTAAATCATGTGTAAGGTATAAAAACTCATATTCAGAATATTTTAGCTCAAATATAGGCCTAAAACAGGGAGACCCCAGTTCATCTCTTCTTTTTATGCTGTTCGTCAACGACATAACACAATATATTAATTCAGACCTTGATGGGATTTTCACTTTAAACGAGCTTAAACTGTTTCTACTTCTATATGCCGACGACCAGGCACTATTTTCTTCTTCGCCAGTTTCCTTACAGTTAATGTTAAACGATGTCGTTAATTATTGTAATATTTGGGGATTAAAGATTAATACTTCTAAAACAAATGCTATGATTTTTGAACGTGGCAGACATACGACATTTGATTTTTACATTGACAACACTCTAATTGAAATAGTTCCCTCTTTTAAATATCTAGGAATAACTTTGTTTAAAAATGGTAACTGGTTTCGTACCCAAAAAAGTATTTCGCAACATGCTTCATTTTCTTTATTTAATTTATTTAAAATACTTAATTACGCCGAATTTTCAATGTCCCAAAAGCTTTCGTTATTTGATACTCTTGTCGGTTCCGTTCTTAACTTTGGTTCACAAATATGGGGCAGTCATAAAGCACCAGATATCGAAGCTGTACATACAAAATTTTTAAGACGGGTTCTTTGCGTCAAAAAGTCAACCAATTTATGTGCACTATATGGTGAAACTGGACGATTACCGATGGAATGTAATAGAAAAATAAATATGCTTAAGTATTGGGTACACATATTAAAACAAGATCAAAATTCGCTTATTAAACAAACATTTCTCATGCTGAAAAATCATACAGATAATAGAAATAATTTCTCTCAAAATTCGGCAACTCAAATCAAAATGATATTAGATAGTCACGGTTTCAGTTATATTTGGCATTGTCAGTTTGATATAGACATTCCGTTTGAAGAGATTAAGTTAAAAGAGTTATTGATACTTACAAACAAAATTGGTACTGTGAAATAAATAATTCTAGTCGCTTACATTTTTATTCAATATACAAACACGATTTTATGTTGGAGAAATATTTTTCAGATGTTTGTGAACAAAAATTTAGAATAGCTTCAACTAAATACAGAATATCAGCACATAATTTACGTATTGCAACTGGAAGATATGACGACACACCCAGGCAAAATCGACTATGTACCTTTTGCAATTCTAATCAAATTGAGGACGAATATCATTTCTTGTTGGTCTGCCCTTACTATAGAGATATAAGAATAAAATATTTGCCAAGTTATTATTGCCATTGGCCAACAATCACAAAGTTTGAAAGTATCTTATCATCTAATTCTAGAAAAATGACTCAAAATTTATCAAGATATTTATACTTTGCCTTTAAAAGAAGAGGTAATTAACATTTTTCTCTTAATTTATGTAGTAATCTTTGTTTTTCATCACAAAAAAAAAATCAAATAAAGATTTATATTTTTGTCATATAACAAATATCCAAATATCCCTCCGCTAACACAGATTTCATAACATTTTGTTTTGCATATTGTTGCTAATAACTATGTTACCTGTCTATTATTATGCTTGAAACGTTGTTATAATGTTTAAAGCAAATAAACTGTATTGTATTGTATTGTATAAAGAGCAAACATACACGTGCTCGGACAATGAAAGTGCTAGTTGACATTACATACTCGTTAACCGCAATCCATTAATATACATCGGCGCATGGAAACTTTAGAAATACTTTTGTTTTTTTTATAGTTTTATAGTATAAATATTTCAGA